CAAGTACAACAATAAACAAAACATCATTTCATTACATATTTATGTTTTCATACAAGGTTCTTACAGATAGTAATAAAATAATAATACGAGTTTGCCTTAACAGTTAGACATAACAGTTCAAAAGTAGAAAATTAAAGTACTTGCGAGCCATGTTTTCCATCGTCTAAGTGTGCCCGAAATTTCACTGATTTCCTGAGAATACATGTATTTTGAAAGTCAACACGAGGTTGGTGAGAGTCACAGGTTTTCTGCTAGCCGCAGTAATAATACTTTCAAAGTCAAAAAGTATTTTTCTTGTATAACAATAGTTGAAACAATGCTTGTCATGAGTCTTTAAAAGCCAAAAAGTATTTTTATAAATAAATCCATGCTTTTAAAGAAAATGTGTTTGTAATAACTTCATGAAAGTTTAAATATATCCATTGTATAAGTAACCACTATACTTAAAAACAGTTCTGAAAGCAACCAAACCTATGGTTGTAGTGAAAAAGTGAGAGAGATTCGTGTTAATGTTTTTAGTGAGTTCTATAATCGAGCTATGGACGAAAAGTACCCCTCCCTACGACGCTTCATTGGACGTCGTAGTAACGATCGTAGACACATATCACCTGCTACGATTGATCAGTCGATGGTTGTAGCTAGCAACCGCAGGTGGGGTTGTCGACCCCATATAGATCTATACATATATATGTACCTCGCTCCGAAGATTAACGATTATAGCAGTGTGGGGCAGGCTAAGTGATTAAACTCAGCTGATGAATAGTAGCGTCTCACTCAAAAACCATTAACGAAAAGTTTGTGAATAACTCTCAGCCCTAACTTAATTATAGTTAAGTACCGGGCATAATGAATTTCGTAGTATAACATTTGTAAAAGCCGAGTATGGTTGATGTATTTATAAAAGTATAAATTACTCGCTTTTATAGAGATATGTATTTCAACATAACGATCTTGTATAAGTGTGTAAAGCCTTTTGTATAAAAGTATTCATGGGTGTAGTCTTTGAAACTTTTAAATACTGTAAACCGGTAGTATGCATATCATATAAGACTAAAAATAAATGTTTCAAATTAATGAACATGTGTACATGTATAAACTTTATGCATATAAACATATAAATATACATGCATAGTAATATCTTGAACCATTGAAATACTACACAGTTTCATAACGTACTTGTTATAATATAAAAATCATAAAACTTTGTATCGTGTAGTATTTGTTGTATGAAATGGTTATTTCACGATAAAATAATCATAACATGTATACGAAAAGTTTTTACTAGTTTATTTTTAACAATATGGTAAATTGTTACATAATAATATTTTTATAAACTATGTTTATTGTATTTTCGTATAAAAGATAATATATTTGTATAAACAAAACATATAGGCACATGTATTCCCCCCCCCCCCCCCCCCCCGAAATAATTAAAATACTGAAAAGGGGCCGTAAGCACTCACCTTATCGAGTGGTTAACGAGTAGTTCTGAAGACCATAATGTATTGCCGAGAGGTCGTGATCTCCGGGATTAGTTCGATTTCCTAGAAATTTCGATATATATTAATATTTGGACGTGATTAGGTATTATAACAATTTCTTGAATAATTTCCTAAGTTTTCCCAATTTAAAATTTATTAAAATAATTATTTTAAATAAATTTTAAAATTTAATTTATTATTTTTCCGCAAGTATTTAAATAACCCAAAATTAATTTAAACTTGAAATCAAATTTAAAATTTCTAAAATATACGTATAAACATTATTCATTTAATTTTGTATTTAAAGTTGGATTTGTTTTGAAAAGATTTGTCCAGTTTAAGGTAGGTTTTAAACATTTTAATAAAACTTTCATGATTTAGAACTTGATTTGAAATAATTCTAGATAGGGAGGGACTAATAATAGACAATTGCAAAGTTGAGGGATCATATCTATTTAAATGGAATGCATGTTTGTACGGTATCCATCTTTTACAGAGGAGGTTAACACCTCCTGTGTTCATTCGAAGCCCATGTATAATCAAAAAAATGCTACGGATAATCTTATGTTTCTTCGGTTGTTTATTATGATCGACGATGGGAAGAAAATAAATATGCAAGAGGGTGACGATAGGGACTTACAGTGGCAGCAACACAACAACACAACAGCCGGTGGTGGCTGGTGGTCCTTCGTGACGATGAAAGGAGGCCGGCAGCCTCCTGCTGCCGGTTTTCTTTGTTTTCTGGTGAAGATGAAGACAAAGAGGGGATGGAAGGAGGGTGGAGAAGACTTTTGCAAACGGCAGGACAGCAACAGGTGTGATGTTGGTTTAAGAGAGGTAGTAGTGGGGTGGTGCAGTGGAGGTTGGTGATGGCCGGCAGCCTCCTGCTGCCAGTTTCTTCTTACTTTCCTTGGCAGGAGTGGTGAGGGGGGAAGAGAGAGAGAGATAAAGAGAAGAGTGGCTGTGTTTTTTTTTTTTTTTGGTGTGAATAAGAGGCTATCAAGGCCTCATATTTATACTTGAAGTGTATATACACATACAAGTGTTGGGCATACTTCCACCTAGGCATGTACTCTTTTGGGTCGGACTGACAAATATATACCACGGAGAACCAACCAATATGTTACCAACCGAACCAATAAAAATGGTAGTCAATATGTTTGGCCGGTAATACCGTACCAATTAAGTAGTCTTGGTATGGTAGCGGTATAAGGTTTTGTATACAACGGTTGTACCATACCAACCAATATATATATATATATATATATATATATATATATATATATATATATATATATATATATAAAGTCTTTGGAATTACGAATACACTTGAGAATTGACAATTCTTTTTATACTTATTAATCTATTATATTTTGAGCACGAGATTGGCAATTCCTATTTTACCTATATTTTTTAATACCAAAAAGGCAAAAACCAACGTGATACTAAAAGAGTTGGATTAAAGGAAGGATTAAATGAGTATTAAAAGAAGCGACGACCATTAAGTCAATTTTATCTTACATTCACGTTTAGGTTAGTTTCTCACCCTCTCGTTCCCCCTTCACAGACCAAATTTCATATTCTCCTAATTCTTCTCTAATCGGCAATTACAAACCCTCTCGTTCCCACTTCACAGACCAAATTTCCCATTCTCCTAAATTCTTCTCTAAACGGAAATTACAAGTTGTCAATCAACAATGGCTGCTTCTAGGCTACTCAGTTGTTGAGTGTTGTCCACCGGCCATCGCCGCCACCCCCATTGGCTCCATACACATCCCCTAATCGATGATTGAGGTTTGGTCTAACGTCTTCTGAATATTGCAGGTTAGTTTTCTTTCACAAGTTCACTTCCCATTCCCTATCTCTGGTTATTTGTCTTTCAATGTTTCCTTCCCCATTAACGATTTCTCTTACAGTGGGCTATAATTTCGTATTTATCTTTATGTTTGTGTGTAAATCGTTTATTCCATTAGGTATTTTGTTTTTGTGTGGAATGGTTTTTATCTTTGTGATTTTGTGTTAAGCGTTTCTACTCTTAGATAATTTGTGTTTTGTTTATATCCAGTTTATCATTGGTCTATGGAACCACAAGGTGTGCAAGGTGATAGTGAGGGTTGTATGCCATCTCTAACATCATCAATTACAGGTTCCAGAAAACGAAAGGAGCCTGCTAACAAAAGTCGTTTGTGGCAATTTTTCACAAGGTGTGTGATTGAAGGTTCAGATGTAATAGATCCAACTTGGTGCAAATGTAACACTTGTGATGAAAGAGTATTGTGTGATCAACAAAAGAACGAGACTAGCTCAATGTGGGCACATACTCGGAAATGTACTAAACACCCATTGCATGTAAACATTGATCCCACACAATCTAAGTTGTGAAAAGATAATATCAGTGGAGCAACGGGATACCACAAATACAATAAGAAGAGGTGTGATGAGAGGTGTATTGATATGATTATCATAGATGAACTTCCATTCAGGTGTGTGGAGAAGGTTGGATTTAAAGCATTATGCAAAGAGTTGGAACCTAATTGGACTCCACCAGACAGGAAACAAGTTGCTAAGGGTGTGTTGGATAAGTACAATTTGGAGAAGAAGCTTTTGTTAAGTGAACTAAAGGCAAGTGGTACGCGAGTTTCTATCACTACCGACACTTGGACATCTATACAAATTATTAACTACATGGTTTTAACTGCTCATTTTTTGGACACGGACTGGAAGCTGCACAAAAGGATAATTAATTTATGTAATATTACTAGTCATAAAGGTGATGATATTGGGAGGGCAATAGAGCAATGTTTGAGGCAGTGGGAGATTACCAAAGTGTTTACGATAACAGTAGATAATGCAAGTGTTAATGATGTGGTTGTGGCGTACATGAAAAGAAGATTTACCGGTTACAAGACACTAATGTTTGATGGGGACTTTTTGCATTTAAGATGTGCATGCCACATCATTAACTTGATAGTGAAGGATGGTTTGAAGGAGTTAGAAGGTGGGGTTGCAGCAATATGGAACTGTGTGAAGTATGTTAGGAGTTCATCACAAAGACCGGACAATTTTAGGGAGTTTGCTGTTTTGGAACAAGGCAAGGCAAATGCTAATGTTCCATTAGATGTTGTCACTAGATGGAATAGCACATATCTTATGCTTGAAGCTGCACTTAAATATGAGGCTACTTTTAAAAGAATGGTTGATGAGAATTGTGCATTCAAGAGTTATTTTCAAGAAAAAGACAAAGCTGGGAAGGTAAGGGTTGGACCCCCATCTGATGATGATTGGAGGAATGTAGAAGCCTTTTGTGTGTTTCTAAAGAAGTTATGTGAAGCTACTTTGAGACTTAGTGCATGGAAATCAGTCACTTCTAATATATTGTTTGTGGAAATGATTACTTTGCAGATCGAATCCGATAAGGCAATGCTTTCAGAAGATCCTGTTATGAAGAGGGTTGCAACTTCTATGAAATCAAAGTTTAACAAGTATTGGGGAACTTTTGAGTAAATTAATAAGATAGTCATGATTGCTAATGTTCTTGATCCGAGATACAAGTTGCAATCGGCAAAAATAGCTTTGAATAAGGTTAAGGCAAGTAATCTATTAATTGAGTCGATAGAAGGGGACTTAAAGAGAATATTGATGAAGATGTATGATCAATATAAGGAGGTTGAGAGCAGGGGGCATGAACACCATTATCACTCTGTTGTTGAAGATTTAGGAGTAGATGATGATGAATTAGATGGACTTGATGAAATCAGCAAGGAGATAGCAAAAGAAAGGATGTCACAGCAATCACAATGCATAATGAATGAGGTTGACCAATACTTATCTGATAGGTATATCAACATTCTTGCTAAGAATTTTGAAATTCAGAAGTGGTGGAAAGGTAATGAATCAACATATCCAATTCTATCAAAGTTAGCTAAAGATATATTCGTTGTACCTTGCTCAACAGTAGCTTCAGAGAATGCATTTAGTTTAGGTTCATGAGTGGTGGATCCATTCAGAGCTTCATTGACACCAAAAACAGTTGAAGCCCTTGTTTGTACATCTGATTGGTTACGCGCCTCTCCTGTTAACTTCAGCTTATACGAAGATCCAAATGAGGATGCCTTGAAGATTTACTATGAATTAGAAGAACTTGAGAAAGGTAAGTTTCTATCTATATTATTCTTAGGTAGTGTTTCTTTTTTCATTGTGGAGTATTTTTTGTAATTGTTTTTTTCCTGTTGAGTATTTACTGATACATGAAATAAAAAATGAAAACTAAAAACAATTAACTTACCACTTAGTTAATATCTCCTTTTTTGTTACTTTCTTTGTAGATAATGTTTACAATCAAGGGGGTGAGGCAGCTGGGAACGCTACAAGCTAGTATATAACAACACAAATGGTTGAATGCAGTTGCTTTATTTTGTAGATATTGTGTATAAAGTATAAACAATAACAAATCCCATGGCAGTTTTTTGCTTATTTTGTTTCTGAGTTTGGAAAACTTTATAACCGTTGGGTAGTTATTATAATGTAAATCCTTATATATCTTATCAAGTCTAAAACTCATCAAATATATAGTTGTTAAAATTTTTGGTACATACCAATACCAATATGTACCAACCAAATTTGTTGGTAGCCAAGTAAGTTGGTACCAAGTATACTTGGTACGGTACTGGTAATCAAATTCTTCAGCCAACTACAGTTGGTACGGTACATGGTTTGGAGGAAAAAAACTTGGTACCGTACCAATTCCACCCCTACTGTTGGGATGACTTGCACACAAGGAGGGATAGGGGAGCAGATTTGTCACGTGGGAATAGGCAAGAAAAATCTGGTCATCCAAGTTCTTGGGTCTTAGGTGGGTCCCACATAGGGTTTTATCTTATTAAATGTCCAAAACACACAAGACCGGGTGTACTGAGATCCGTGCATCGAGAATTATTATTATTATTATTATTATTATTATTATTATTATTATTCGAGAATACCGATAGATAGATTATAATTCAAGGATTTCAGAACATCAAATGGATAAATTTTTGGAGTTACGGATCTCCGTAAAATTGCGTTTGAAGTTTCGCGTCTTAATGGCTCGCGGTGTCCGTTTTCGTGACTTTTGTAAATATTTTTGTAAAAATTATTTCGAGTGTGAAATTAAATAATATATTATATCCTGAGTCCAAAAACGCTCTCGGAATCCCCGTCGGCAAAGCATAAGTGCTTCAACGGTTCGATTCGGTTTTACGCGATTAAAGAAAAACAGTGTTTTACTATCTGTTTTCTTAAAACGGTCGTATCTTTTGCATACGAACTCCGTTTTTGACGATCTTTATATTTTCGGAAACAGGGGAACATGTACCATCATATTTTAATGTTGGTTTTGCTCAAAACTGATTAATGCTAAATTTCAGTTTTCAGACGCATTAATCAGCGATGTAGTTGGGCGGTTTGATTCGGTTACCAGTTTACACGTTTGGGCATAAAAAATATCATCAGATATTATATACTAATTGAACTTAACTCATTTATATTTCATTAGATGTACTTAAAACTGAATGAGTTAAACTAAAAATAAATTTGCCGTAATTTAGTCGTTTGAAATCTATGCCCTAAATTTCGGGATGTCACATTACCTCCCCGTTAAGGGAATTTCGTCCCGAAATTATTACATTCTTGACTACTTTATACTAGTAGTTAGTTGTTTCACTAGTGGAGGGGGCATCGTAGAATAAGTGTGGGTACTTTTTCTTCATTTGGTCCTCGCGTTCCCAAGTAAACTCCGGACCTCTATGAGAGTTCCATCTGACTTTTACTATAGGTATGCGGTTTTGTTTGAGTCTTTTAATTTCCCGATCCATAATCTCCACTGGTTCCTCCATGAAGTGAAGCTTTGTGTTGACCTGAATTTCATCGAGTGGTACGACCAAGTTTTCATTGGCTAGGCACTTTTTGAGATTACACACGTGGAAGGTATCGTGAACCTTGTTGAGCTCTTGAGGTAGCTTGAGCTTATAAGCTACCGGACCAACCCTTGCTAGGATCTCGAAGGGTCCGATGTAACGTGGGTTTAGCTTTCCCCTTTTTCCGAATCTAATGACACCCTTCCACGGGGCAACTTTTAGTAGGACTCGGTCTCCTACTTTGAATTCCAATGGTTTGCGTCTGTTGTCGGCATAGCTCTTCTGCCGACTACGTGCGGCTTTTAGCCATTCTTTTATCTGAACAATCTTTTCTATTGTCTCCTGAATGATTTCAGGTCTAGTGAATAGTGTATCCCCAATATGTTTTCCTGCTAGTTGGGTATCTCCAAGTTCTGCCCAACATAATGATGAACGCCATTTGCGCCCATACAAGGCCTTGAATGGAGCGGCCTTTATACTAGTGTGATAGCTGTTGTTGTAAGAGAACTCAACTAATGGCAAGTGAGTATCCCATGCGTTACCAAAGTCTATCACACAAGCGCGAAGCATATCTTCCAGAGTTTGTATTGTCCTTTCGCTCTGGCCATCCGTTTGAGGATGATATGTTGTACTCATGTCGAGTTTTGTGCCTAGGGACCTTTGTAGTGATTGCCAAAATCTGGAAGTGAATCTACTATCTCGGTCCGAGATGATAGATATTGGCACACTGTGTATTCTGACTATCTCCTTGAGATAAGTTCTGGTGAGTTTTTCCATCTTATCAGTTTCCTTGATGGCTAAGAAGTAAGCGGACTTGGTCAAACGGTCAACCACTACCCATATGGTATCGTAACCGCTTGATGTCTTGGGCAACTTTGTTATAAAGTCCATTGTTATTTGTTCCCACTTCCATTCTAGAATTGATGGTTGTTGTAGCAGGCCAGACGGCTTCTGGTACTCCGCCTTGACCTTGGAGGAGGTCAAACACTTACCGACATAGGTGGCAATTTCTGCCTTCATATTGGGCCACCAATAATGCTTCTTGAGATCGAGATACATCTTATCTGATCCTGGATGGATTGAGTATCTTGATTTGTGGCCTTCGTCTAGAACCAAACTCCTGAATTCTCCAAACCTTGGAGCCCAGATTCGGTTCATGAAGTATCGCGTTCTGTCTTCCCTGAGGTCGAACTGTTTGTCCATACCCCGTAGGTTTTCTTCTGCGACATTCTCAGGTTTGAGTACTTCTATTTGAGTATCACGAATTTGGGTAGTGAGGTTTGAATGGATGGTTAGAGTTAGAGCCTTTACACGAAGAGGTTTCACTCTTTCTTTCCTGCTTAAAGCATCTGCCACGACATTTGCTTTACCGGGATGATAACAAATTTCGCATTCATAATCATTTAGTAACTCGACCCATCTTCGTTGTCTCATATTGAGATATTTTTGATCAAAGATGTGTTGGAGGCTCTTGTGATCGGTGAAAATGACACACTTGGTTCCATAAAGGTAGTGCATCCATATCTTCAAGGCAAACACTACAGCTCCCAACTCTAGATCATGGGTAGTGTAGTTCGTCTCGTTTGGCTTCAGTTGTCGGGATGCATATGCAATAACCTTATTCCTCTGCATCAGTACGCACCCTAACCCTTGACGTGAGGCATCACAGTATACTACAAAGTCTTCTGTTCCCTCGGGAAGAGACAAAATCGGTGCACTGCATAACAATTGCTTCAATTTTCGAAAGGCAGACTCTTGACTGTCTCCCCAGTCGAACTTTTTGTCTTTCTGGGTTAGTGCGGTGAGAGGTTTGGCTATTTTGGAGAAGTTCTCGATAAATCTCCGATAATAGCCTGCAAGCCCTAAGAATTGGCGTACTTCGGTTGGTGTTGTTGGTGCTTTCCAATTCTTGACAGCTTCGATCTTCGCGGGATCGACATGAATCCCTTTACTGCTGACCACATGACCGAGGAAATGAACTTCGTTAATCCAGAACTCACACTTAGAAAACTTTGCATAAAGTTTTTCTTTTCTTAATAGTTCTAGAATTAAACGCAAGTGTTGGCCATGTTCTTCCTTGGTTCGTGAGTATATTAATATGTCATCGATGAAGACAATCACGAATTTGTCCAAGTAGGGTTTACACACCTGATTCATAAGGTCCATGAATACGGTAGGTGTGTTGGTCAGTCCAAATGGCATCACTAGAAACTCATAGTGACCGTATCTGGTTCGGAATGCCATCTTTGGAATATCTGCTTCTTGAACTCTAAGTTGATGATAGCCTGATCGTAGGTCGATCTTCGAGTAGTAGCAGGATCCTTGTAATTGGTCGAACAGGTCATCGATGCTCGGGAGTGGATACCGGTTTTTGATAGTGAGCTTGTTCAACTCTCGATAGTCGATGCACATCCTGAACGAACCATCCTTCTTTTTGACAAACAATATCGGGGCTCCCCATGGAGAGAAGCTTGGCCGAATAAAGCCTTTGTCGAGAAGTTCTTGAAGTTGACTGGATAGTTCTCGCATTTCCGATGGAGCTAGGCGATAATGAGATCATGCCACGGGTGTTGCACCCAGGATAAGGTCGATTCGAAATTCAACCTGCCTGATAGGAGGTACTCCAGGTAGGTCTTCTGGAAATACGTCCGAGTAGTCGCACACTTGTGGTATGTCTTTGATTTCCTTACCCTTGCCTTGCGTATCCACCACGTGGGCTAAGAAAGCGTAGCATTTCTTTTGCAAATACTTCATTGCCTTCATGCAAGTAATGACTCTTAGGTTTTTCCCTGACTTATCTCCGTAAATTACAAGGGTTTCATTGTTTGGTAAGGGTAGTCGTACAGCTTTTACGTAACATAGAATCTCCGCTCGATGGGCTGATAACCAATCCATTCCGATGATTACATCGAAACTTCCAATGGTTATGGGCATTAAGTCGACAGGGAACACGTGATTATTAAAGGGTGAGAAGGCAGTTTGTAAGTATTTCTAAGGTGCTTTCTATTTGACCATTGGCTACTTCTACCGTGTAAGCATTATTGAGTTTGCATGATTCATGATTTATCATTTTTCTAAACTGGTGGGAAATAAAGCTCTTATCGGCACCAATGTCAAATAATACGGAAGCATAAATATTGTCGATAGGAAACGTACCAGTAACCACAGTTGGTTCCTGGCGTGCGTCTCCCGCACCTATCACAAATGCCCTTCCTTGACCACCCTGACTCTTCAGCTTAGGACAATCTTTCCTTAAATGTCCCGGTTGGTTGCACTCGAAGCAGGTTCGACCTTCTTTTGCGGTAGTATTTGAGGCTGTGTTGTTTGGGTTCTTTTTGCAAAATCTGGCGGTATGACCCCTTAATTTGCAGCTGCTATAGATCATGTAGTCTCCAACATGATGATAGTTGCACTTAGGGCAGCGAGGTATAGCTCCAGCGTAGGGCTTTGCTGGAGTGGGAGTGGTTGTGACTGCAGCATACACTGTTATAGGATTTGGGTTTGGCTTACGGTGCTTGAAGTTCCCTTTCGGCTTCCCATGGAACTTTCTCTTAGAATTCCCAGTTTGGTTCTTTTCTTTTGCGGGGGCCATGGTGCCTCGTCGGATACATTGTTCAGTCAACTCATAAGCCAGTTGCTTGGCGCTGTCAAAAGTGGAGGGTCTGGAT